TTTTACGGGTACTCGTCCACATTATCTATAGAATTAGGCAGTGTCTATTCTCCCGGCAGCCGGGACAATAAATTTTCAGAAATTCTATCGAGAGTCGCCTTCCATTAGCTTCCTGAAATCATGGAACTCCCAGTAGAATACTTACTTTCTTGTTCTTGCGGCGCTTCGTGGAAACATGTTTTATAGTGAACTCTTCGTGGGCGCTCATTTCATGGACACGTTTCGTCGACACTAACATTTCATCGACACTCGTTACGTGAATCTGTAAGCTGCGGGGAAATTTTTTCGCGGGTGTGTCGCTAGCCGGCAGACCCATCCATGCAGCTTCGTGGCGATATTCTGCGACGGCTTATTACGAGAATGTTAACCCACGCGTTCCACCCTATATGCCGTTTGCGGCAACAATTTAAAACAACTTGTTACCAAAAAAAAAAAAAGCTAGTCATATTTTTGTAAAAACAATCTTTTGATGAAACAGCGTCTCAATAAAACTCTCCGTCAATGAATCGCCGTTCGATGAACTGATTACCACCGTTAATGTGAGGCGTCTGTCAGGAAAACTTTTGGGAAAATATTTCTCCAACAGCCGGGAGAATAGACATTATGGCCTAGATTTACCCCGGTTCTGTTTGCATTGCAATCTTTTCAGCTGTATAAAAGCTTATCAGTACCTCTTTACATTTCTCAGATCGCTTGCACGTTTGTACTTTTCTACAGAACATGCTGTGTGTAATAAACGTCTAGAAGATTTGAAAATAATATTTTGTATCTGTTTTCCTGCCTGTTTACAAACTCATGTGCGAGAACGTTTTCTTTACGCGTTTCCTTCTTGTTTTAAGTACGTTAATTCAGTTGGGGACGTTTCAAATAAGTTTGACATATCCAACCTTCCAGACGATACCCATTCAGGGTTAACGAATAATTCGCTTGGGTGCCAGATGCTAGCTCGAGAGCGATTCATTTCAGCAAGCATTTGTCAACGGAGGGATGCCTGGGCTAGGCTTCTGCTTGAGCAAGTGAGCCAGCCCTGGCTTTCATAGCTTCATCGTTTCTGCTCATCTGCTTGTGCGTGATATATTCAGTTACATAGTTCAGAAAGAGCTAATGGTGGCCAGTCATCTTTGACTTCACAACGACTTGGCTGAGGTCGCGGAAGAACTTTTAGTCTATCGTGAGCCGAGCACTTCAGAACATCGCGATGCTACAGAAACAAGTGGACTTGTGTAGAGCCTAGGCCCATTCGCAACGTGCTACTTGGGAGTTTGCTTTACTAAGACCAATGTGAATTTGAAAGCTTCGATTTTTGACCTTTAGATTTTTTGTTGATGCCATCAGTGCGAAGCTAAAAATGGAAGAATAGGCAGCTTAAAAATGGTGGTGAAGTGGCTGCCAGGGTCTTGCGGCAGGGGAGGGGGCAGGAAGAGGCGTTCGGAAGCCGCAATGGCTCCCCAGCCCCAGGACTCGCCCCAGGACCCTCCCCAGGACCAGGCATAGGCTCCCCGCTGAGCCTCCTCCCTAGCCCCTTTCAATAGAAGTTTCGAAAAAAAGTATTTAATTGATCTTAAATTAGTCATTTACACGCCAGATAAAATAGTGCATAGACAAAGCATAGGAGAATATTGCCATTTCTGCCCAGAATGCTTTTTTGCAGTGGGCTACTACTATAAAACAGGCCAGGGTTTCTTAAAACACGATGTTGGAATAACCAAGATTTAAACGCGTTGCCATCATTAGATAGCCAGTATTTAAGATGTTGCTCCAATATTGGAACAGCCAACGAATCAGCTTGACTTCCATTAACGGCCTATCCAATAAATAAACTTGTATGCTAATGATGGCGTAGCCATTGAATTAGCGTGAAAGCCAATATTGGCATAGCCAGCGACATAGTGTGGATGCCAATATTGGCTGCAGAATGAATAACCATCACTGGCCCTGCAATGGCTGTAATGTTCGTTTAATGATGCCCCAACCTAGGTGTCAATGATGGCTGGAACATTGGTTTAACAATGGCCCAAAAATGGTGCCAATGATGGTTGGAACGTTGGTTTAAGGATGGCCTTAGATTGGTGCCAATGATGGCTGGAACATTGGTTGAACGATGATCCAACGTTGGTGCCAATGATGGCTGAAACATTGGTTGAACGATGGCCCAATGTTGGTGCCAATGATGGCTGGAATATTGGTTGAACGATGACCCAACGTTGGTGCCAATGGCTGGGCAAACATTGGAGGAAGTTGCACTTGGCCAAAATGCGAATGTTGGACCAACCTCTGGAGCCAGTGTTTGCCATTGTCGGCCCAATGTTGGTGTGCTGCCAACCGTAGGACACCCCCGACCACGTCGCTCCCTTCTCGTGGCTGAAGACGTTGCTCGCGCAAACGTCAAGCACCGCACAAAGTGTGTACTTCGAGCTGAATGTGCACGCGTACGATTTCTTTACTTGGTGCGAATGCCGCCGATGCGTGGTGCTTCGACTTCGACCCGGGAGTGCTTTTGCCGGAGGAAAGTCGGTAGCAAACTTTCCAACTTACAGTTTGCCGGCTGTATTATTAGTGAGGAGGGAGTTCCCCCAGTTGCTCAGTGGAAAGACGTCCGCTTCACACGCGGCCGGACCGGGTGAAACCGTACATTTTTTTTAAGACATTTTGCGATGTTTACTTTTCCTTTTTTTTACAATTATCACCAAAGAAACAAACAAACAAATAACAAATAAATGTTGTGGACGAAATGTCGCTGAACTAAATGGTATGGGATTTTCTTTTTGACACCTGTGAACTCAATGTAATCACTTTCCACAAAATGCAAGGAGCATATAAATCAGGTAGCGTCCGCTTTCCGAGGTGCTCGTAAATGTACTACAGGAATTGCAGCCAGTGATTGGTCCCGATCCTGTTGATCTTTCGGAAACTCTGTCGCATAATGCCACTTTTTTTCGGACGCAAGACATGTGAGCCAGCTCTTTACGCAATATTTGGGTGCATTCTTTTCGGAGCCGATCCCGGAAATTCACCACAGGCACTCACTACTCATCTCCAACCCCTCAACGTACAAAACAACTCATGTTGAAGTACAGAACAGCGAACGGAACAAACATAACTGCAAATGAATGGCACGGCAAACAGTTCCCGCTACGCTGCCACACATGTCGTCTGCTACGCAGAGGGGGGGGAGGGGGGGGGGGGGAGCGCAAGACCGGGTGTAGCCACGTGACATCCGCCACTCAATCTCTCCTCTCCACTTCTCCGACCTCCATGCTCGGGTTTGGGTTTCGGTTTCGAGCAGTTGCGTGCTTTGGCTTTATTAAAAAGTATACGCTACCCTGTTGCAAAATATTGATTGGGTAGTCCTCCGATACCATAATAAAGCGCCTTGCAAAAAATGAAAAAAAAAATTTCGGGGGGTGTCAGTGTCCCTTTAATGGTACAGCAATGGAAGCGCTGAATCAGCATGGTCACGCCATTTTTACTGGACTTTGTTTGAACGTTTCCGTGCTTACAAACGGGGAGTCAAATCTAAGGGAACGTATCAAGCGGATACTTCAGTACTCTCAGAGTATTTTACTGGCAGAGCTGCCCCATACATCTATATCTACAAGCCGATGATACAAAGAGCACAGGCACGCTGAAACAATCCTGCAACACCGCAGAAAGTTCTGAGTATAAGTTGGAAACAGGTAGTAAAAACTGCGAATGATCAGGTAAGAAGGCAACTCATTATACTGTTGTCATTTAGGAGGGAGACCACAGACAGGCAAGCGGAGCTGAATTCGAAACGTCACTTTCTCTCTGAACACAAGGGGTGATAGCCAAACCAAATAGAATCCATTATCCATCTAATATTCCCTCTGAACATTACTAGGCGTCTGATGCCAGCATGTGGTCTGCTTTACATAGCATTTGATTCGTCGCACCGAATGAACCCGTTTCTTTCTACATTGCTTTTGTGAGACATGATTTTTTTTAAATATATGTGGCGAACGTACGCGCGTTCGAGATTTCGTTACATTGGCAAGCCTGTCAATGATGGGAGGCATCTTTGGCTTTCAGGGGTGAGAGAAGTGCGCTTATGCTCTTGTTATTAATTAAGTGTACACGAGAAGGTAGGATTAAAGTTATCTATAATAATAAGAATTATAGTAAAAAAGATGTTTATTTCTCTCTTTTATCCGCATTAACTTTAGCAACTGGAAGGTAACGAAAGGGTTTATGGTCACTGTTACTTTGCGTATCTGTATACATTCGTTGTTGGAACGCTACCGGAAGCGAGACATATCAAGAACACCTTTTTTCCCCCGAAATATAGCTTTCAAGATTGAAACGATTCCGATTACCCTTTTGAGTCAGTTACCTGCTCATTTCTCTCCGTTCACATAAATATATATGGGTTTGAAGCTAGGAGACTGAACCTCTCTTTCACAGGTTACCTTGCTAGCACTTCGGTCACGTATCCTACTCTTTCAAGTGTGTTACGTCTGGGCGTTTCAAGAGTTTCAGTGCTTACCATTCAATAGATAAGCATGTGTCCTAAGTCTCTAAACCAGAGTGGGAAACGATCATGTTGTTTTCTAAATTAAATCATTCGGAATTATATTACTTACATTATTAAATCAGTAAACAAAAATTATATTGTTGCGAAAAAAATCTGGATTTAAATCGTCGCAGTTAAACAGGTGTGATTTAAATTACGACTCATATCATCTTACTTTTTATTCTCCACCCCGCTTTACACAGATTTATAAAGTCGCAGAAATACCGTACCAACAAAAAGGTATCCCCAATCTTATTTGTACGTAATATTATGAAGTGTGGACACAATATTGGAGCCTGTAACATCCTACGTCCTGTGGTGACCGCCGGTCACAGAACATCGAAACTGGGCACTCAAGTCAGTTGTAGCAAAGGCAGCATGACGGTGTTTTAAGATTCCAGAGCGTCAATGTCAATATCCGCGTTGTGCTGCCGGCGAACACACGAAAACCTAGGAACCAATCGACCCATCACAAATGCTGCAGAGCCGCCGCCTGGTGTCCACCGTGAGTAAGATGAGCTTGGGGTGCTGCTGGAGTAGCCGCAGAGTTCAGGGACCTGGACCTAACATTGAAGGACGAGCGATTCCTGTAGCGCAACTTATGGCTCCGACAGAACAGCACGTCGGCCATACACTGCCGGAAGTTTTTGGAAAAAAGTGCGTAAAGGAACGGGTTGATGCCAGAGTTGAGGTACAACACTAGGTTGGTGACGACTGTGAGAATGGCCGCCGCTGTACTCGATCCGTTGTACTCCTTGGAGTGCTGCCACAGCTTGCGGGCGTGGAACGGAAGGTTGCAGACGGCAAAGCACAAAACGACGGCCACCAGAAGGCGGATGACCTTGCGACGAGGCTTCAGTGCTGACATGGCTGCGTTGTTCACGTAGTGAAAAGGCTTGGTTGCCTGCTTGCGAGGAGGAGTGCTCACGCGACTGCAGCGATTGCAGCTGGACTGGCGACTCAACTGCGTCCCTTCGTCGTACCCTTGCCCAGGGGTGAGGTAGGGTACTGTCCTCGTTTCGGTGGACGTCAGGTCCTTGGGGCTTTTTTTCGTCGTCACCAATGTTTGAGCGTATTCCAGCTTCTTCACGGATGGCGGCGACTCGCTCTCCGAGCATGACCGGCACAGTGCAGGAGTGGTGGCACCGCCACCGTGTGCCGGAGGGTGATGATTGTTGCTGGTTTTGGACATGTGGTTCTGCGGATGGGACACGATGGCCTGGCTGTGCCACAGCTCGTAGCAGATGATGGTGTACAGAACGGTGATGATGATCAGCGGCACCAGAAAACACACGACAAAGTTCACCAAGTCGTAGGTCATGGAGTCATACAGCGCCCTCTGGAGGACGCACAGAGCCTCGCGTTTGTCGTCCACAGTGGCTTCGACGGTGCCGTACATGATGATGCGCGGGCTGCAGTATGCGGCACTAACAAACCATACGGTCACGATGGTCACTCTCAGCCTCGTCAATGTCACCACCTGGAGAAAGGCAAACAAAACGCACCCATCTAGGTGGGGAATCAAAACATCGACTCAAAGGTTACCTGCCTAAAGAGAACTTAGTACGCTCGCTCTCAGTTTAGAGCTTCAGAAAATAATAGCAGCAGTTTATGCTATGATTCAGCTGCGCCAGAAACCAGTTAGTTAAAACAGAATGAACTCGCTATCTTTCAAATTAAGAAAAAAATAAGCTTCCTGGCTCTCAATGCGCAATTTAGATAAACTTTTTATTAGTATGCAAATTCCACTAAAGGCAAGTCATACAGAAGAACGAAACAACTGGGCCAGTTGTGGCATTCGTGGATACACATGGCTTACATCACTGTCACTTAACTGCCCTTGTTTGGCTTTTCTACTGAGAGCGCGCCTTCTTCATAAATTCAGCTTCACCGAATTAGTTTTTCTTGAAGAGAAGTACGAGGAATGACATCCTGTGCAAATCATGTAATGCGCGTGCTGTGCTCGCTTTTTATAGCGACGACCACCAGCTGACTTGTCGCTGGACATTACTTTGAATATGCGTATTACATGTCAAGGGAAAACGTGGAAATGGCATATTTTCTACATTGATAATATGGACCATATTCCTGAAGCCCCACTCGGGCAGTTTAATAACCGGCTACTGGGGGTAAACTACCTATCAACAAGTTAGTTATTATCCGCCATGCATGAAAACTAATCTTAGCATGCGGACAGTTAGTGCGACTAGATAATGTTACAGTGCAACACCGTGACTTGGTAATATATGACATGAGAATACTCAGTGTTCACATTTTTGTCCAGTTCGAATATGCAAGCTCTTACTGCCCACATAATTTGCTTCTTTCAATATGTGTGTTCTCCGAACTACATGAACATTTGGAAGCATTGTAAAGCGCTATAAATCATAGCAAGCACATTTTGGTACGTGTCAACAGAAATTAACATCGATTTAATTAATTCCTTTGTAATAGTTTTGGAAACTATGGAAACACTTACTAAATAAATATAAATGAATAGAAGACAAACACAACATCAAAATGAAATCCTCATATTCTGCAAGGAATATGTGGATTACTTTTTTTTTAAATATTAACAAATAAAACTGGCATATAACGCACTACGTTCTATATAGTCTACTCTTCCGCTGCGCAGTTTGCGAATCTGGCAAATCATACGGCCCACACAGAATTCAACATTTTATTTATCTTGCCGGGAAGCCTTTGAAGTCGCACAATTTTGCATTTTGGGCGTATGGCGCAAGAATTTCCAATTTGGGCGCGAGATTTTCCGACTTGGGTGTAAAGAAAAAAAAAAGTGTTCGAAGAAATATTACAGGACAGCGCGTCCTGCAACCAGTTTGGTGAACGAGGGCTTAGAAAAGGATTGTTTTACTTTGCAGGCTTTTTCGATTAGTGTTATCGAGCATTGGGGTACTTTTATTTCTTAAAACGCCTATGGAAAAGGCAGTGTTAGGAGGTTTACTGTAACTCGTTTTTATAATAAAGTTGAAACACTAATAAAATATCATAAACAAAATGTAAGGCAAACGGTTAAGACCTTGCAGTCAGCAAATACCACGAAACAAACAACTAATATTTCTGTCAGCACTTAAACCATTTATTTTTGTTGTTTGTGGGACAAGGTTCTCCTCCTTCAAAATATAATTTAAATACCACATGTTTACACAGAGTTTAAAATCCTATTGACGCGTGACTTAAATTTTCTGCGAAAGCCAGAAGCTTTTAGCTGAATTCTGTTAGAAATTGTCAACCTTCCAACTTCTTACTGCACTAAACTGAAAGCCGAGTTCCAGGAGCATTTTATTCATGTCCTACAAAAGCAAATCTCTCACTACAAATGAATCTTGACATTTTCCCTGCTTAAGTAACGGACATTAAGGGTCACATGCTTCAAGAGATAACAAAACTAAACAAGACTGTTTGCTTTACGTTGAATACTCTGTGTTGATTTAGGTTGTTTGCGTTACGTTCCTTCTGGTGTTGGTTAAGTTTTCTTTCGTAGAACAACGGGCTCACAGCGCTTGCCTAGACTATATTGATCGGGCCGCCAGGAGTTTTAAGCAAAGCGTAAGTTGTGCAGAGAAGAGTGTTTAGTCGATTCACTGACTCCGTAAAGAGTGTTTGAATCCAAACATTTATAAAATTCAAGAACCAATCGTGAGCGTCAACGTCGTTTGAGTAAAACAGGTTTTCTAAATTGTTAGTGCATTTCTTTCCAGTGATTTTGTAGTTCATTGACGTGATGCACAGTGCTCACCAAACTTGAAAGGAAAACGCGAACTGTGTCTTTTTTCATGGGAGCGCTATTTCGACGGGAGCCGAGCAACAATTTTGTGATGTACCACTCAACAAACTGTTCCAAACTGCTAGGCCAAGCAGCATCCAGGAGAGCACTGCCATGAGAAAAGATGGAGTTCCTGTGTTCCATACATGTTTGGTGAGCGCATATGCGTACGCAGGTTTCATAATATCTGTCAATAAACTTCAATATTAAGTTATAATTTTTATAACTTCAGTTTGATTGAATTATACCACTCGGATTTTCCACAGAATATTTAAACACTAGATAAAAATAAAATCACGTGAAACATTAACTTCGCTACTACCTTCGCACGTCACGCATTTTTTTAAAATTTATATTGTTATTTTTTTATTTTTTTCTCGTCGTCAGTATACGCCACGTGTTCGAATCTGCAGCTAAAGTAGATATATGTATCTTATGCGCACATAATATAGGAAATTGTTTTGTACCATTTTAATTAAAAAAAAAAACTCAATTATCTAGACTACATAATTTTCACACTTTTTTTTCATATAGGTCTTTCATATAACCTCTGCAATCTAGCGTCTACTTTGCCCTGAAAGCGCAATTGGAACACTGAGAACTCTTAAGTGATTGCTCCCCTGCACAGCGTTTTGGAGAGACAATTTATGAAATGTACACGAAGGAAAGTCGGCGAATGCTGGGGCTGATAATGTTTAAAACTAAAAGAAAAAGAAAAAGCTGCGCTTTGGAGCTGAGCATGACGTTCACCATGTTTTGTGCCACAGAAGCAGGCCGTTGGTGTGGGGTCTAAACATATTAGGGAGTTTTAGGGAATTGCTTTTCCCCATCCGATATGGCACGATAAGACCTCCGGTACGACCTGCACATGTGTTGCCGCAAAAGGACTCGCAGATTGGCAGTTCGTAGCAGAGGGCCCTTCCTACTTTATGGGATGAGCGAAAACGGTTCCCTAAAACTCTTTATTATCAGTCCCGTGAATCGCTGAACGCCCTCTAGCTAATAGAGAGCTTTAGGGAAGCATTTCTGCACACGAAGGACCGCTCATACTGTTTCGAACGTGCAAAAAGGTTCTCTAAAACAGGCTAATCTGGAAATTTTGACGGTCCGTCAGTGCGTCAAGTGACCCATACAACAATGCATTCTTCGGGCTAAATTTGGACGCGAAATCGCGTCACATGACCTAAACACCAATTTATTTTCTCCGCTAAATTCATAAGAAAATTGATGTCACGTGACCCGTCGTTTAGAGAGCTATACGTCCGTTAAATTTACCCACTTAAATTGGCGGGAAAATTTACATAACCCAACCTTACGTCACGAAACCTATGCACCAATCCAGTTTCCCCGCTATATTTAGCGGGACAATTGGTGTCACTTGACCTGACGTCATAAGACTTGTACAACAATTCATTTCCTCCTCTAAATTGAGCAGAAAAATGGATTAAAGAAAAGGCTCTTTTTCGCTGCCCAAACGACTAATTAATGTATTTTAAAGACATTTAAACGATTCCTCTCTTAATACTGCCTTCCATGAGTTATAGGACTTCCGAGATGAAGTTACTTCCAGTCTTACTATTACTAGGGCCAGTCATGACAAAGCGGAGACTGCAGGGTCTTACCTGTTTGTTCCACATGGGATGCACGATGGCGATGTAGCGCTCGACGCAGATGACGGTCAAAATGAGTATGGAAGTCGTGTAGCTGAGCCCGTGGACGAAGAAATACATGCGGCACAGGAAGTCTCCGAACACCCAGTGTGGCGTCAGGTAGAAAAAGAGGTTCTGGTAGACGCAGAACATGGATACGCACAGGTCGGCCACCGCCAAGTTGGTGAGAAAGAAGTTGGTGATGGTGCGCATGCGTCGGTTCAGGATCACCACGCAGATCACCAGCAGGTTACCTGCGAGGGAATTCGTTCATTTATTTTTTTCCCCTCGGTTACACCGCAGCGCCGGTGAGGCATTGTAGCGGAGGAAGGGCGAACAAGGAAATGGCGCTACAACCGATGAGAGAAAGCACATGCTGCCTATCGCTGATCCCAGATCTCGAAAAACCAGGAACACTAATAGCTTTTGGTAGTCCGTAACCTAGAGCTACGGTTTAGTAACGGAAGCTTGTGCCGTAACTTTGTGGCATGGATAGAGAACACGCGCCCGCTGTACTCGCTCTCCGCAGCTTACCGCCTGCTAAAACTCTCAGCTATAACAAATGCATTGACACGCTAAATCAATGCGCAGAGAAAATTGAATATACAAAAAATGGAGTGTTAAAGACTGAACAACCTTTTTTGAGACTTTAGCAATCTTTTGCTTGTAGCAGATTGCTACTTGACAAGTAAGAATTTATTACCTGTCTTTTATTAAGCAAAAAGCAACGAGGTGGTCAAAGCGCTTAGTGTTCTGGATTATGCTCCGTTGTTCAGTTCTAAATAAAAATGCTTCGTTTTTACGCCCTCTTTTAAGTGCTTCCTTAACAACAAGAGAGGTTCACGCTATCCGCGACTCTAACGGAATGTTTCCCCGTTTCACATTTTTGCCGCCAGGCTGAGCAAGTTTTTGCTTCACGCTTGGATAGGCGGTAGCCTCCCGGAGCGCTGCTTCGCGTCGTGATCGCTGAGTGGCGCCGCATTCTCTCGGGTCGCGAACAACACTCTGTTTCGCTAGTTTTGTTTTAACGTCAATATTTTTAGAGCCAGCCGCCTCCCACGCAAAACCTTGAAGCACGCTCACAATTTCAAGTAACTAAAATCGCAAAAATGCCAAAACTCACATTGAAAAAAAAAAAAAAAAATCCAGTGGAATGCGGAAACCCATGCCAGAAGGCAGAACGCACAGAGCTTGTGTTCCCGTTCTCTTCGTTTCCCTGTCATCCCCTGTCCCTTTTATCTTGTTCAGACTGCCTTCTTTCACATTTGTTTTTCAATCGCTTTCTCGTTGGTTGTACTATTCTATTTTTATATGGCGAGAGATCGTTCCAAAAGTGCGTATTCAACGCATTGGAACGCAAGCAGGAGCGCGCCAATCGAAGGGCGAGGAGAACGCGGGAGGGAACGCGCCATGACGAGGCAGCCGAGCGCACGCCGTCATTGCTTGAGGTCGAAAAAGCAAAAGCAAGTGGGTGCGTTTGGGGTGCAAACAAACGCACAAGCTACGCAATAAATAGACAAAGCCGCCAAACGTAATAAAATCACTGGACCTTGTTTTATATTACTCGTTCAGGATGAGCTATAGATTGGCGCACCTGGCAGAACAACATCATCCTCTTTATCGTCACTACTTCTCCCCCCGTCCTCTAATTCATGCAGAAAAAGCACCTCTACCTTCTTTAAAAAAAAACAAAAAAACATTCCGGTAATAATTACACTGTGACGTAAGAAACCAAGATAGTATAAAAGTTTTCCTTACGCTACAATAAGTATGCAAAAATAATTGGTGAAAGAATGTGGATTACCGCTTTTTCATCTCCAGTACGCTGGCCTAAATTGAATGGACTATCTCATAGCTTTCGAAGATTAATGATACCGTCACTTGTACACTTTAAGTTCATAGTTAGAATACATCGTTAGAAAGACGAGATTCCTTCTCTCACACTCAAACGGCGCCAGTATCTTATTGATTGGTAATTTACGCGCCGCTACATATCTCACTTTGGATATAACACTCAAAAGGTGCGCAACACTGGATAAGATAATAGCGTTAATTTGGTTCTCCACAAAACCGGCCTATTCATTTACTGTGAAGAGCTCATATCTGAGCAATTATCCTTGCCCAAAGATGTGCGAAGAATAAAAAAACCTACACGAGCTATAACGCGTGTAGATAGCCCGCTATACGGAGCGCAAGCGCATCTGCTTCTCGGCAGGGGTTGCGGTGACGTCAGAACATAAAGCTCTGATTGGCTCCCATTAAAAGGATAGTGCGTACACCTCAAGGCACCTATGGCATTGACGACTGATGTCTACCCATCAGAGCCAATTAGAGCTCGGCGCATTCTGACGTCACCGGAACCCCGTACAAGAAGCAGACGAACTCGCGCCCTGCATAGTCAATGACGGCTTGAGAAAACGTGGGACGACGCAAATACGGAGCATCTCATCGTCGCTCTGCAGAGAACCAGAAAGCGGCATTATCCGGTGAGAACACGTAAGCACAAATCGCGATCGCTGGTATCTGTCATTGATATTGGTGAGCGACGCCAATACCAACGGAAGATCAGCCTCACACGCGGTTTGAACACTGAGTTATGATGTGCCTTGGCTTTGTTGCAAATAGCAGCATCCTAAACAAACGCTGCGGTATCATAGATGACAATAGCACGTTTTTGATACCATCTTACATGAAACGGGCTCAATCTGCGCATAACTACGTTAAGGCAAACGTCGCAAATCAGTTTTTTTTTCTTTCTCCGCACCTAAATTCATTGCCGTGCATGGTTTCACGTGGTCTTTTGATGAATAGTTTGGAGCTGAAAGGGGGGGAAACCACGTAAGTACACTGCGTTTCACATTAGGCCCGACTTCAGCCGATATAAGGAACCGATAGATTCAATCAAGCAGCGCTAAAACTGTCTCGTCACGGTGTTCATCACTTTTGCTCGCCTGCTATCACCGAGTTAGCCAATCACGCACCATGAATGCGCCGCGATCCCGTGCCTTCTGTTTGTGGTTGGTTGATTCGGTGAAAGCAGAATCCCCAACGCAGCAAGAGCCGTGACGATTCACTTTTGGCGCTTTTTGATCGGCTCAACCGGAACATAGCAGTTCGGTGCAACAAGAAACAGCTACAAAGTAAATAAAAAGCCGAAGTGCTGAATTTTCCTGCGTCGCCAAAGAAGGCCATCGTAGGGCAGAGGTTGGACACGAGCGCAGAGTCAGCGTTCGACTGGAACTCCTGTCCAATCAGTAAGAAGGCGACTCCTATAGCCGAACGCCGACGCCGTAGTCATGTCCAATCATCTCTAGCCTGCTGTGGCCTTCTTGAGCGCCACGGGAAAGTTCGACATTCGGGCGTTCTTGTCCAGCACCTTTTGGTGGTGCAAGTGAGGTACCCACCGAAGAAGCAGCAGCAGAAGACGAGGGTGTAGGCTATGGCGAGGATGACTTTCACGTAAGTGCGATCGAAAATCCATCCGTCCACGGGTTCTTCGGTCCCTGACGGACAGCAGCTGATGTTCCCCGTCAAAGCGCTGCAGTTGATCTGGAGCTCGCGCTGGGGTTCGGACCACTTGCTCGGATCTCGACACGGAAGTTCCATCGGGAGCGTCCCTGGGTCAGAGAGGGAACGAAAAATAAACATTGACACATATTTATTTAATGGCTTATTTCTTTGCGTGTATATTTCTCTCTGGAATAGTCCCCATCATATTTTATAGGCCAAGATATGGTGATAATGCAATTAATGCAAAGGTGCAAGCGAGCTGGACAAGAAGAACGGTAATAATCTCTGAAGCTAGAGAATAAGGGGGCCAAGGAAAATCACAAACCTCCACACACAACTAAATGACTGGTGCGCGACTGAAAAAAAAAAAAAAAAAGAAAACCGCAGGGTCCTGGGCCTTTAAACTCGTCAGACACAAAGTTGAAGGCCGCAGTTCACGGAGTTCACCGATTAGCCTATCACGACGATGACTTCGCCCTTTTTACGCCGACGCCCAATCGGCACGCTCCGCGAACTCAAAGCTCCAACTTTGTGTTTGACGAGTTTAGGTCTCCTGGTGTGAAACCAGGGACTTCTTTATTAACAGTGCAGCGATCTACCCGCGTTCGAGCGTGATAGCCGTATACAAGCACGGCTGCGCTAGACAGTGGCATTCGTTACGGTCTTTGCTTTCACCTAAAAGCAATAGGAGATTTTCTAATGCGTTGGGAACGCTACATCGCCACCCCACCGTGTACCACCTGAACCACCCTAAACAAAGGTTCCGACCACCGTGATCAAAGTTGTTTGAAAATGTGCTCGTATAAAACAACTGTAGTGCACTGATTGAAATACGTATAGCTTACGACGAATAAACACTTGTTTATAAAAAATTGTATTTTTTTTAAGAAGGCGAAGACCCATTTCGTGTAAGTCCTGGCTGGCAGGCGGGCAAGTCCTGTAGACTAAGCTAGTCTGAAAATGCCTCCAAATTGACCCTGGAACGAAGAGACCAACGTTGTGAGGCTCGGCTGCCTCTTTAAAAGAGTTAAATAGCTGTAGGAAGGATGAGGTCGCAGCGATCCCACCGAGCTGCGGTGGGAGGAAGAAACCAGCCCCCACGTGAAGGCCACAATAAAGCGTGCCATTTCATTCTAGCTCGGTCATGACACAAGTTTACGAATAATTTTAAATACACAGGAATTCTTGTAGGGTATACCGACGTTGGGCTTGCTTTGCCTGCTAGAGGGACGACATCCTTTTGACAAAAGACTACCTCCCTTTTGGTATTCGCCCGATCAAGTCCTGCCGCGTCAGCCATCTTACCTCCAATATGACGATTTAGGTATGTGTTTAATAGCAGTGCGCTGCCATGTATGAACTGTGGGCTAAACATTGAGCGCTGTAGATTGTATGAGAAAAGGAGACAACTTTTCGATAATGTAACCGCATCCCTCCCGCTATGTACGCGTTCGTTCCTAGGTTTAAATATACGTCTTAGCCTGTGCATCTTCAAAATATAATGGCGAATTCTCCCTTTGTTGGCTTTCTTATTTTGATAAGAGTCTTGAAAATAACCTTTCTTAATAATTCTATTACATAGCCTGTATCATGTTATCACGTACAAGAACTTACATTATTTGGACTTGTCCCGGGTAACAGAAATTGGTTAGTTACAAATATGACGCCTTACGAGCTCACGTTTACGTTAATATTTTCGTCGCCCATTCTCCGACAACATTCTCGTTCCAAACTTTAGATTAGCATTTATCGACGAAGGAACATAAAACAAAACTAAATGTAGCTGTTGAGCTGCCGCAGTGTGCACATCGCGCTGTCATCGGGCTAAAAGACCGCCAAAAATGTAGACATCCGACATCCAGCGATAACCCAAAACGACGAAAGTTTGTCGTGTTGGGTGAACACTATGCGAAGCGCGAGTTCGTCTGCTTTTTGTGCAGGGCTTGCGGCGACGTTGGAGTGCCGAGCTCTGACTGGTCCCGATTAAAAGGATACTGAGTAGAGACCTCCAGGCAGCTATAGCATTGAGGTCTGCCCTTCATTTTTCCAACCAGAGCCAGTCATAACTCGGCGCGTTCTAACGTCACGGCAACCCTTGCACAAGTAGCAGACGAACTTGCGCTTCCCTGACTGCTCAAGCAAACCGGGGTGTAGCGGATCCCAAGCATCTTATTATCGCTCCGCAGCCAATAAGATTACAGCATCAGCCAATGGAAATGTCCAAAAACCAATTGAGAGGCAAGAAGGGTGAACTTAAGCCAGGGTCTGCGTTTCTTTTTTAAGCTGTCAGTGGCTCTAGCACTGGAAAAGACCTCGAACCCGGTTCCCGGACATTTCATCGAACGCCGTTTTTTCGAACGCCGTTTCATCGAAAAAATTAACGTTTCATCGAACGCCGTTTCATCGAACGCCATTTCATCGAATCGCTGACGGCCGTTTCATCGAATGTCTTTTAAATGAAAAAGTGTGAAAGATGTTCTTTTATGCACGGATCGGGTGCATCTTCGTGTCATTCACCCATTTCATCTTCAGGTTTTTTAATCTCCAAACTTGTAGCTGTTACAATTTATTTCGGTTCAAGTAACCCATGAGGATATTTGTACCGATCTTTATGTTTGTCTCGCACATTGTGCTTATCTGATGGACCTTGAGGGTATTGTAACAAATAAATAAAAAGTCACACTCCCGGTAAGAGCGCACTCCAACTCATGGACGCCAGAAGGCGACTTAGGTTTTGCACAGGCGCAACAACTTTAGCCATGTGAGTTGGTACTTTCTATTGATACTTTTTTACTGCCCGAAGCTTGCATTTGCTAAAGCTGAGGTGCTATTTATGAAACTACAACGAAACATTGTTTTCTTTTTAGTTTTAAGATTCAATGAAGTCAAAAGTAAGTACGTCAGTTCAAATTTTATTTGAAAACTTTCGGGGGTTCATGTGTTCCTGCGACAGCCATTCACCGGTTTAAATGATGAGCAATTGCTCTCAAAAAGTCCCCCCCCCCCCCCCATGGTCCGTCGGTTCTCATAAAAAAAGCGGACCTTCTCATTCCTTGCCGCTATGGCCATATTCTGGCGAGGATATTCTTGGGAACTCAGCATCGCCTCCAGCTTGTCTTCCGTCAGTTGATGTTTTGTGGCGATGCAAGTCAAAAACTTCCAGAACCTGGGATGGGCACCTCCGACCAGGTTCAGGAAGCGGGAATGCCACCCTGGCGTTCGATAAGACGGCGTTCGATGAAACGGTGTTCGATGAAACGGCGTTCGATGAAACGGCATTCGATGAAAAGGCTTCGATGAAACGGCGTTCGACGAAACGGCGTTCGATGAAATGTCCGGTCCCACTCGAACGCAGCCCTCAATTTTTAAGGGTGCTAATGTTCTGGGACCCGCTAGATCTGTTTTACCACATATGAAACCCAGACAGGTACACCTGACGCTAGGAAAAAAATATAAATAAAGTCCTCTTTGCGCTTAAGTAGTGCAACTGTTGTACCATTCGAAGTGACTGTGGCGGCGCATTTAAGATGCGCTCGTCCCGTACCACCGACCAACGCCTGCAAACCTGTAGCCTCCTGGACCTCTCCACGTAAGGTCTTCGCGATTAAAAAGGCTGCGACTCAGCGATTGAAATCAAATCCGACGCCGAACATCCTTCGATGCGTTGGGAATCGCTAATGCATGGACCTTGAATATTTTACGCGGTCTGGCTCAACCCTAATGAATATACCACCCTCCGTTCCGACTTACCACGAACCGCTGAGAACGCTACGGGTCACCGCGACCAATCAACAGTCGTGTAAGTGCCACGTGCCCTTCAAAAGAGACGCAGCCACGCATAGGGACGTGCATAGCCACGTTCTACGTTCGCAACGCTGGATTGGCTAAAAGAGCTCGTAGAATCCGCTGCGCTCCATCGTAGTCTGAAGTGGCACGTACTAATAAAACGGATGCACAAATGAGTTATGAACAAACTTATACGGTGTGCGAGAAACCGTTTTGTCGCATCTACAAGTTTCGCAGAATATATATCGAATTCAAATGTCCGAGATGAAGAGAAATAAAAAAAAAATGTTTTAGCGTTGTAGTATTGCAATCTATGCTTCTATCAGTCGAGAGATTGTCGTGAATAATGCACGTGGCATAAATATTCGAGTAAGAAGTGATGGGTTGTTGCCCGAGCAGGAAGAATGACATCCACATACTTGAACGACAGGATTTTTACTTTACCGATTTTCATATGCAGTGCCGTGTTATCAGTGCCAAAAATCACTCGTCCTCAGTTCAAATATGCTGAGAAGAAGAAAAAGGACATATACTTTGGGCATGCGTTTTGTAGATTCTCTAAATGGGAGCCATATAAATGCATATCTATAGAAATGTTTTTGTTGACATTTTTAAACAAAGTGCGAAAATTTGATTGTCCCACACAATAAACATTGAAGAATAGTAAGTAAATGGAAGTTTTTCTTTTTTTTTTTTTATCGGTTTCCACTGTTACAAGGACAAAAAAAAAATGTAGAGCTCTTCTTGTTCACGTGAAGATGGAGGTCCAGCGAAACTCTTATCTTTACGACAAAAGCTAGTATAGTCTCCGCGTGGCTTCGGCGGCCCAATCTTTGTCAGTCATTTTAGCCCGGCGACGATGTTCACACTCTCGCTTCTGTTACCGCTGACGCTCTCGACGGGCACGTCCTTCGTTGGTGAGTGGAGGATCGATCGAGACCGATAAACCCACACCATCGGCCGCACCACGCTGGGCCGCTGCGCGTTCGACTTCTCGACGCTTTCGCGCACAACCGCGCTGTTGTTCGCGCCGACTAACCTTGTAGGCGCGCTCTTCCTCTTCAGAACGTGCAACACGCGGCCTACCAATGGCGAGTGTAAAGAACAACTGACAACGTCGCAAGGAAATGGCTACGTCAAGAGGCAGAGGAACACAGCCATTGGTTAATAGCTAGTTTAGGTTTTACAGCGACGTTAAAGCGACTTGCTATATTGATTGAATAAAGACACATACACACATGAAGGCGATGAGCTCTTTCAATACACGGCGTTGTAAGTTCAAAACCCAATTTTTCCTGGCTCACCTGGTT